CGTTTACTTTTCATGTGTCTAAGCATAGCTTCCAGGAGAATCTGCTCCATGATCTTGCCATGCACAGAGGCGAGACTGCCTTGTTGATTGTTCCTTGTTTTTTTCTGCTTTCCCCTTCTCAAAAATGGGAGTTATATTTCCCTTTTTCCAGTCATCAGGGACTTCACCTGACTGTCAGGATTTCTCAAAAATTATAGATAGTGGCTTAGCAACCACTTGCCTGTCTAAAGCATTTGGGGAGCAAGGGGCAGCAATGGTTATGACAGCAGAGGATGACTTTTTGCAAGGTCTGTGAGACCAGGCTCTGGCAGATCACGGATGGTATGGCACATACGTCCAAGAAACACAACAGTGGGGCAAGGAGTGATGGCAAAGACGTGTTTCTCTCTCCTGGTGGGGGTGCCATAGCAGCAGGGGTGTCTTCCTGGAATGGTTTTCACCAGGGATGGCAAGTAGAGACAACACAGCATCTGCTCCCTGTCACTCCTCAGCATCTCGCTCACAGAGCAGCTGGGTTCTTGCTCCCTCCAAGCATCTTCAGCCCAACACTTCACTTTTCATCCTCCTTTCCCCTGCTTGACCACGATGAGTGAAGCCCCACAGTGAAGCAACTGGCTCCAGCTCCCTTGTGTTCAGGGGAGAGGTGTTATCCCAGCCCGGTAAGGCATTTATGACACCAAATACTGCTCTCTTGGAACTCTCAACATTGCCTTTCACCTTTCCTCCCCCAAATCACAGGAGTGTGAAATTCATCTGCTAGGAAGACACACATACTGAGATGCTGGTGCAGGGTGGGACAGAGGGTGACATGCAGGGGTGGCAGGATCTATGACAGTGAGCAGTGTCACTGACATACAAAGCCCTTTGAAAGCAGTGCTGCACCCTGACGAAGCAGAAAATTGCTTCCTTGTATACCTGCAAGTGAACTCTCAAGTGAAATTGCTTCTCCCATAAAATTCAGAGGTACTTTCTGTGCTCAAGAGGAGAGTTTAGGAGCCCAGCGAGGTGCAAAGGTGGTCAGGATTCACCAAGGGTGATCTCTGATGTTGTCAGTGCAGGGGCTCCTTGGAGGAGCTCATGCAGCAGGACCCCAGCAAGCAGCTACCACATACACATGGGTTTTACTCATATATTCCAGGGAAAGTGATGAATGGATGGTTGTTCAGAG